GAACTCCCTCTAAGAAACGTCCCCTTTGCTGCGTCTAAATGATCGTCAAGCTAACAAAACGATAATTGTCCGTTTGGATGGTAAGCGAGGCCCAAGTTAACACTGACGGTAATTTCTGTTTTTCATCCCTCGGGGAATATTAGATTTAACATCCATCTGCTTAAGTGGTGTGACACAGGTGTGATAACCTGCATTAGTCACCCCATAGCTGTTGTTACAGGAGCAAATACTTTCATTATCTCTTTATAATATCCAAGCCAATAAATTGATGTATTCAAACAATATGCGAAATAAGAGGTTTTGCCATCAAGGAGCCCATTCAAGCAGTCACAGACAAAGTGTCACGCAAGAACAGATGAATGGATAGAGAGAAGGATATGATGTCTCAGAGGAGCCGATATTTTTCGGAATATAGAACACTCCAAATGGGCTTCAATTATTAATTAGCAAGAAGCAGAAGAAAGGCCGCAAAAATCAGTGAATGATGAAAAGCGGAAAGATGGTTAAAAATGTCTGGCCTCTGCAGTCACTGAAAGAAGCATTGCCGTTATTATGCTTGCAATTAGCATTCTGGTCCACTCAGAGTTAGGATTTTGGTGTGTGGAAAGAAAACTATGACATGAACAAAAAGATCTTGACACACAACAAGAGTCAGTACAGCCTAATGGGGACTTTTTTATATATATATATATATTTTTGTTCCATGTGTCGCTTTTTTTCTTAGTTAAAGGATGGAAAGACCTTTGAAATCTGCCAGAACTTACTTAACAGTGTAAAGTATCATGAAAGAGTATTTTTCCTACTGCAGATGGCTTGTATTTCAGTTTAGATGCAATTATGAAAAATAGCAAACTAGAAATGTAATATTTTTGAAAACATACTCTCTGCCAACAGAAGTTTTCTCTTTACAGCTATCTCCAAAAAGGGGCATCAGCCTCAACGATGGCCCGGTGGAAAAAGGGAAAAATACATGCACTCATGCACTTAGGGGACAAGATATGTTTACTATAAATAGTTAGCGAGCTTCACCCCATCAGAGCTGAAAAGTGGACTCTATTTAATTAAATTTTCCATCACAGTTATGGCTCTCTTCTTTGTTTCTTTGTTGCATGCTGAGGTCGTAGTCCTAATCTCACACAAACAGACAAAAGAAAACGTCTGCAACCTATGTCTGCGCACCCATTCTTTTTTCTTCTTTGGCGATAAGACGCGTTGCATTTATTGGTTTGTGTTGTGCTACTTTCTTTTCCTCATGGGTAGCGAGGCAGAGGAAGATAACGCTGCATCGCCTACGCTGCACGAACAGAGACAACCTCCTCCTCTCCAGAGCACTCCACATCTCTTACGGCTAGATACGTCACAGTCACCTTTGTCTAACTGCCTACGCAGTTAACTCAATATTCTTTAGCAGAAAATGTGGCAGATTGGGCAGTGCATTTCTTTATGCAGTACTATCAAAGGAGATCCATTTTTGTAATGTTTTTGTCTCTATGAAATCAAACTCGCCCTACTAACTCCTTACGGGTAAGATTGCGATGTTTTCCAGCTGACGGAGGCTGAGGCCTTCGGGACGAGGCTGCCAGTGTTTTCCCAGGCGGCAGAGCATATTTGCGGCCATCTGGCTCTCTGTGAGCAGCGTTCAGCCTTCACACTGCGCTGGCTTGCCCACCCACTGAGTCCAGAGGCTCTGGGTGCCTATAGCCCCCAAAGATCCAGCACCTCTCTTCTGTTTTGATCCCAAGAGTCAAAACTTGAGAAAACATACAAAATTTTGATTGCTGGCAAAGTTGCAGATCTAGAGCAAATGGAGTGTGATGAAATATTAATGCTATTTCCCTCTTCTTATATTTTACCATTGTTTGTTTTATAAATTTAGGTCTGTTTTTTAAAAAAAATCAAAGCAAGAAGGGCACAAATTCCTGTCACTCTGAGAATAATCTGTCTGTTGTCACATTGTATGACCAAAACATGAAATGACTGATATTCCCCCAGACGGCCTCCTGACGAGCAAGCTCTAGTCTCTTAAATGCATCGCCTCCAGGCATGTGCAGCGTTACGTAATGAAGCCGCACTGTGAAATCCATGTGTTACAGCAAACTACAGTGTTCTCAGTTGTGTGTCTTCTAAGGATGCATGAATGTCCAATGAAGCATGAATTCTTAATTCACTGCGATGCCAAAATAGACACTCAACCATACACAAATGCAAATGACAACTGAGAAACACTAGATTTCATATCTTTACTGGGTGGTTTTATACATGCAGAAAGTTGATAAAAAAAAAAAAAAAATATATATATATATATATATATATATATATATATATATATATATATATATATATATATATATATATATATATATATATATATATATATACTCTGGAAAGCATATATAGTGTCAAGCACATATAGTCTGTCAAAGCTATTAAAAGGTTGAGGTAAAAACACTCCAGAACTTTGTTCCTAAACACATTTTTTCTCATCATGTTTCAGATCTAATTGGGTAGATAAGAACATGGTTTTTTAATCACAGAGAAATCGATATGTAAACTTAAATGACTCCATGTGAAAATGCCACCATTGACAGCTACAACTGGATTTGATTCAGTGCTTCACTCTGCAGCTCTAAAGCATCATTCTTTCTTTCTCAGATATTTGAAGTTGGACTTGCCACTTCTGGTGCTTAAGCTTTTGGTTGCAAAGTGATTGGCAGACATTCTCTTTTAGGATTTTCAGTTCGAGAACATAATTAAAGATTTCGTCAATTACAACAGGTTGTAAAGGTCATGAAGTTGCAAAGCAGCCCCAGAGTATCAAACTACCAAAATGTTTCAAAGATAGTTTGCTATTTTCCAAAACTTTGTGATAATTTTATAGCAGATGTATCAAATAACTACTGTTAGTAAACTCCTACTTTTCTTTTGTTGGCTTACAAAATATTTTCTCCACAGTCTTGGAGATCTTCAAGACAAAACTTTGTAATCCTTTTTGAGTTTACATGACCATGAGTAGATCTGTCTGCTTAGGTCTTAATTTATCTGTGCTTCACAAGTTCAGATCTTAAATGAAGCAGAGATAAGAAAGAAAAAAAGCTTTTTTGCAAATTTAACAAATCACAAATTTCTATTTTATAGAAAATCCATATTTGAAGACTTTAAATATTTATCCATAAAGAATCTTAAAAACGAAATAATAGAAACGAGATGAAAGCTGCTAAATGAAGCTTGGTTGGCTTGAGTGGAGAACATTTCCAGTACCAAATACAAGACGTCAACAACTATGAATTTATGTCTCATCATACAAACATCGGCTCCATCTTTGTCCTGCCTGGATGACTCGTTTCCAGTGCCCACGCAGGTATTTGTCACACTGCGCTGTGGCCAAAGTTCAGCCAAGCTGAACAGCATGTGCACAAGCACACCGTGCTGTGTGCTGCCCTTTCTTTGACACAGTGGCAAACCACTGTGCTGCAGCACACACCAGTGGTGATAATGGGCTGGAGGTTGCAGTTGATTTGTTGCTGCAGAATTTCTGGAAGGAAAAGTGACAATTTATTTTTGCGATCTAAGCTTTGGATCAGAATGTCCATCCATCATTCCAGTTATCTCCTGTCATACACTTATCAGAGATTGGGTAGCAGAGGTAGCAGCTCCAGGAAAAAAATCCAACCCCCCATGTCCCCTTTCACTCCAAGCTTCATTCAGGTTACAAAGTTCCTCAACTTCTCCTTATAGAAACTTGTGTCCACAAATCTTGGAAAAAATCAGAACAGACAAGTAAATAAAGAGCCTTGATTTTTGGCTCAGGTCTTCCTTCATCACAGCAGGCAGACCAATATCTCTTTCAGATGAGGTGCTGGTTTGGATGTCCATCTCCTCCACCATCCTATAATCTCTTGTGAACAAGTCACCAGGAAACCTGACCTCTGCTTGAGCAAGAGGCTCAATTATTTTAAAACATCCTCACCTCATATTTCATTCATGATTATCAAAAGGCATCCCCGGAAGATATTTACAAGGATTTGAAATTCATAGTAGGGTTCACAGAGCAATATCAGCTGTTGCTGTCTTCCCACTTTTACTATCCCACATCCATATGCTAACAACCGATTTGACACAGTCTATTCACACACTGCCAGCATTTTTTTTTATTGGGAGATTCAGAGATAAATCAGGATTCATGATGCCAGAGAGGAAAAGGCTTTTAGCTAGGAGAAAAATATGGTTGAAATTCTTTCAGTAGTCACAAAATCCTAATCTCTAAATGGTTACAACATGGAAATAAATCTTAGCTATTGAGGCAGATGCTGTCAACAACTATTTCACATCCTGTCTTTGCTGCCCATACTTCCACTAATCTGTTTATTTCACCATATTAATGAACAGCTTTTTGGCTCAGGATGAAGCAGGAAATTTGGGACAATTTTGTAGTAATCCAAACAAAATTCTCAATGGTAGCAGTGGATACCATGGGAAATCAAATGAATAGAGTCCAAGCGTCCCAGTAAAGGGCAAGGAATTTCACAAGCTATTTGTTGTGTGTGGGGAAATACCACACACAACACTCCCTCATTGGCTGTTACAGATTCCAGCCCTGAAGACTGAGCTACTTCTCCCCAGCAGAATATGCACATAATTAGCCTCCAATACCGCTAACCCTCTCCAATCAAACAGTACTGATTGAAAGTAAAGGCGCCATGGGGACGAGATAATTACCCCTGACAATGAAAGGATCCCTCACTGCCCAGACCCTTCACTGAAGGGATTGGGAGATTATTAAAATGTTGGAGGGCAGCCTGGAAACGGACACAGAAGAGGCTCTGAAGAAAGAGGAAAAAGAAAGAGTGGGACTTGATTCAAAGCGACTGTAAGGAAAGACTACCTGAGCTCTCAATGTGAAACTGGTGCATGGTTGGTGGACTTTGATGCAAATGAAAGCATTGTTAGGCAATTGTTTCTCACGTCATGTAATGTAGACTAGAAAGTGTGCATAGGCCTACCTTTCTGTAGACAATCATATTGGGGGAGTCTTCCTCTGGTTCTGCGGTACCAGTTCCTCCCTGATCTTTGGACCCCTCTGCCATTTTCAGTAAGGCCTGAAGGGAAACAGAATGGCTACATCACCATTGCTCATAGGACAAATAAAAAGCATGTAAGTCCCTTTGATAATTATTTTTTCTCTGTCTTGACTAAATGCATTTAAGCTGGAGCTGCAAAGGAGTTGGGTTTTTGTTTAAGCCATACCGTATCTATGACAAGCTAAAAAGTTATTGCAACTGGTGTTGGAAGCAACTTGGCTTAGAAATGCATGGAAACATCTGAATGCATAAGAAATTCAAACAGGTATAAACTCAATAGTCACAGTCTGCTTAATTGCTTGTTCGCAAGTTTAAGTAGGATCAGCATGAGGAGAAAATGATATTTAATCAAACAGAAATGCTTTGTTAACGGCAGCATACAGATGAGAATTGTTAAACTGGTTTGACATTTTACAAAGGTATCTCTAATACAGATAGGTTACAGCTAAGGTGTGTGAAATGCAATCTCTGAATGCACACACTTTGGTCTGTGAACTAAGTTGGGAAAAGCAGCAGAAAACTAGATACAACCCTCTTCAACTAAGTAGAGGAAACTTAGGCTACAAGTAACTCAGGCTCACTAAAACTGCAACATTAAGATATGAGACAAAAAATATTGCCTTGTTCAGTTGCTCTGATTACAGCTTCAGTATTTAGTAGGGTCAGAATTTGTTGTAAAAAAAAAAACAGAAAAAAGGGATGGTTTCTGTGTTGTTTCAGTGCTTCAGGCTGCAGGTGGTAGTTCAAAGCACTGAATAATACCTCAGTATTATTGTTGAGCATGTCCATCCCTATGTGAGCAGTTTTCTGATGCTTCCAGCAGAATAAATGCAGCAGGTCCCACTGCTCAAATAATCTGAAAGCGGTTGCTGGAAAACAACAATGTTCACCGTACTCCAACGCCCTCCATAATATTCAAATCTAAATCCAACAGATTGGGATTGAAACAGGAAGTTTATATTAATGAAGTGCAGCTAGCAAACCAATAGCAAATGTGTGTTGCAAACAGGTCAACATAAACTCAAAACTCTAAGCAATGTTTCTGAAGCCTTGTCAAATAAATTCTCCGCAAAATGTGGCCAATATCAGTTCTCTTAATGTGCATGTAATATATTGGCCAGTGGTTGTAATTCCAGCTTGATATCATTGGTTTTCACATTTGTCAGCTTTTGATCAATAATATAACTTTACAAGATGCTGACTATCATTTAAGCTTGTGAACATTAAATGACGAAATGTTAACCATATAAAGCAGCATTGAAATCCTCTGTTGTTTCTGGAAGACAATGTATTGTGCTCCTAACATGCATGTTTTTGGACTGTGTGAGGAAGCTGGAGCATCCAGGGAGAAACAAAACATCCTTAGTGCTAATAACTGCACCACATTGCAGACCAGAATGACATAAAGAGTTTGAACAGAGTGAACTATATTTTGTGGTACTCTATTAGATCTAATTTAATGATGGATATCTTAGACTTGACAGCACTCCCCACATCAGCTGGCCACCACCCTGGGGTCTGTAAGAAGTTGTTTAATGCACAGATTTCAAACAGTCACAAGCACTTTGTCTGAGCTGCCACATAGACATACTCCTAAGAAAAATTATTCTGCTTAACTCTGGATTTCTTTTATAAAGCATATCTAAACTATTCAAAAGAAAATGCAGCTTGGGAAGCTGAAAAGCCATAAAAAGTCCCATCCCAGCACACACAAGGCACAGCTATCAGGTGGAAGAATGTTCTTTGCTCAGATAAGACCAAAATAGAACTTTTTCAGCAAGCATACAAACCAGTAAAAACAACTCCTCTGCTGTGGTGGCAGCATCATGTTGTGGGGAGTTGTGTATAGGAGAGATTTGGAAGCTGTTAAAAATTAATAGAACAATGAAGGAGATACATAGAGTAGAATACTGGACGGTAATAAAGCATATCTTCCAGCAGGATGGTGAGCTTGAAAATTCAGTCAGAGCTATGATGGACTGGTTTAGAACAAAGCCTTCATGTTTGACTGACTTTTTATGACTTTTCTTTCCACTTCACAGCACTATTTTCTGTTGTTCTGTCACGTGAGATCCCAATAAAGCACAACACAGCAACAAGTTCAAGATGTGTGAAAACTTTTGCCAGGCAAAGACTATGCTTCATCCTGTATCTAATGTACTGGCATATCTTCTGGAGGAGGATTTGGGTTTAAATTAGTTATGTAACTGTAGCCACAAATTACACAAGTTTGAGTGAGATGAAAGCAAAAATTGTCCATTTTCAGATTGCACAACAGCAACATGCAAGGAGGCTTTATAACCGCTGCTGAGCACTCAGGTGTATTACACTGCTGAGAATGAGGATGTGCATGAGTGAATAAGTAATCACCTGTTCTCGCCTCTCTGTTTGTTATTGCCACCAGAAGCGGGCAGAGCAGCACTCCCGTTTGGTCGACAGGTTTTGTGCTCCTTTTAGAGTCGGAGGACATTAGACAGCTAATCTTTGCATCCACCTCAAGTACTTTACAGAAAGCCAAGCAAGTATGGATTACATTGCACCTGCTCACAGAAAACAAAAGTGTGCAAATAGTTTCCTTGTTGGCAGAAAGCTGTAATTTAAAAGAAGGTCTTCCTTCCAGTTCACCTGTCCAAGCTTGCAAAACCAAAGTCCACACAAGGCCCCTGGGGTCTGGTGACTGTCTCAAGGAGACACATGCAGAGAGTCAAACAATGCAACAAAATAAAGCAAGAAGACAGAATGCACAGTCACAGGGTAGAAGACCTTGCCAAGACTCAAATAACCAAGGCTGAAACAAACTGGATAAACTGGGAAAGAGTTTGTGGACAGAGCATGCAGACCCTGCTCCAAATGCACTAAGAACCTTCATTCTACGACTGAAAGTCCCAAAACCCTGATCTGTCTCTGTAGTGCAATGCAAAATCTGTGACACCTGACAGTTGCCATCAGGGAGCCATTTATTACCTTGAAAACACAAAAATAACGCCTGGTTCACTCTGCTCCCCCTGGTTGGCTGCCCCCTTAGCAACAAGCAGCAGGCGGCTTCATGGTGTAGCTAGCAGTAGGAAAGAGTGGATGAAGAAGACAGAGCGGTGGGAAGGGGGGGATGAAAGCAGTGAAGCAAAGAGAGATGGAGAGTGAGAACTCTGAAGAAAAGGAAGCTGAATGGCCACTGCAGTATTCCTCTAGACCTCCTCTTCCTCCTCCTCCTCTTCGTCTTCTCTCGTAGCCAGTCCTGCCTTGCTCTGGCAGTTGAGGAGATCCTCACATGTGTGCACCTCGTTCATCCCCTCCTCTCCCTCGGTCTGCATGTGAGCGAGAGCAAAAGAGTGAGTGTGTGAGAGAGAGAACGAGAGAGAGCAGAGACACTGTGCAACGGAGAGGGGCAGATCAAGCTGAAAAAGTGGGAGGGATGAAGGAATTAGAGAGAATATAAAGAGGGAGGAGAAAGACAGGCAGCGAAAGTATGTATGCGTGTGTATGCATGTGTTTTGGTGTGGACACATGAGAGAAACAGCAAGCAGCAGAGAGAAAGGAGGACAGAGATGCACTCTGCAGCAGCGCCCACTGATGCTGGAGAAAAGTAACAATTTAAGTGGTATTAAAATGCTGTGATTAGTAATGCAGAACATAAAAAGCATTTCACGCTTTTGACCACAACACTATTTAAAAAAATAAAAACTGCTTTTGTTGATTACATGAACAGCGCCTAACTGGTTTAAGACATATTTATCACACAGATCTTTTTCATTGAGATTAATTATGTGGTTACATTTGTTTAGAGTCATGGAGTTCCTCTGGGTTGAGTGATTAGACCAATTCTATTTTTTTCTTTAATATGTTCTTTGGCAGAAATTGCAGAATGTTTCTCAAGAGCTGTAAATTCTCACCAAATCTTAGGAAAACAGTGAAAAATCAGGTTTTATAATGGAGATGAGGCGGTGAGGATGGGCATGGGTGATGAAAGAGAAAAACAAATACAAAAACAAATTTCATTTTCTATGAAAAAGGAAGAATAATTTTAAAATAACTTGCGCCAAATTAAACAAACATGATCTTCATAATTATGTCTTACATCAAATGACAAATTACCATATTTAAATCCCAATTTCACATAAACAGACTAGCAAATTATATGAATTCCCAAATTTATCACTAACTTATTTCCGCCACAGTTTTTCCTTGCACTCAATTTTTCATTAATATTCGTAGCTACAGCATTGTGTGAACTGTCAGTTCATTTAGCACTTAAACTTCATGTGGATAATGATACTGTCTGTAAGCAGGGTTCCCCGTGATCATGTTAGCAAAAACAAAATATTTCTGTTTAAATATATAGTATATACATACATACATCCAGTATATATATATATATATATATATATATATATATATATATATATATCCCTCCCTGTCAAAAGGAATTTTACATTCTTCTTCTTGCCTTCAAAGGTGTCAGTGACAAGGCAGTGTGATATTTGAAAGACCTCCCTGTTCCCTTCCCTCCTAACAGAACACTGTGTTCACAGAACATAAAACTACATGCAGCTTTTAGAGGTTCCAGGAACAAGTTTGCAGATTTGATGTGAAATCAACTTGTTTTCCTGATTGGAAGATCAGAAACATTCTGTGTAAAACTGTAGACTTAAACATTTATTTTTACTAAGGCTAATGATTGAAGGATGTAAATAATAATCTTGCCTTATGACTTATTAGTAGAACTTACATTCAGTTATTATTCACAGCCCTAGTAGATTTGGATGCTGCTAAAATTAGTATGCTTAATTTTACTGGCATGTTGATTCTTACTTGCAGTAATGTTAATGTTTTATAGTGATAGTCAAGGTCAGGACTTGAATTAAAGAGAGAATCTGTGGATGGAACCAAAGATGATGGTGATGGGAAGAAGACCTTCTCATATCAAACATATGATAGAAAAAAATGTTTTTGAAATACCAGTGGAAACGTAAAATGTTGTTGTTTGCATGTTTGAATGGCTTTACATAAAAAAAAAAAAGATATGTTAGAATTTTTACTGCCACATGTGTTGTGTTAGAGATACATACTTTTAATTATTTGCTTATATATTGCTTTGGTTTTTAGGTTTTTTTTTTTCAAGCTCACAGTAAATGTTTCATATGGTCAAACTAATTTCAATATCAGAGTATGAATGACAAAAATCCTTAGTTTTCAATTGTTAACACAATTTAATATGGAGAAAAGATATCAAATCAACTTGTGGGAATATATAATCATCTTCTTGCTTAATTGTGAAATAACCATGTTTTTATGTTTTGGTTTTATTTTGTTTAATAAAATCAAGTGTGACAAAAAGCAAAAAGAGGATAAATCTGTCTCTCTGTCCCCTTTTTCATTTCCTCCTTCTTTTCATGTAAACTTTGGAATCATTGAAGCTTAAATGGCAATCCAATCCATCTGAGGTTTTTTTTCCTGCAGTAAATGAGATCCTTGGAGGCCCCAGGGAAGATCCGACAGAATATAAGCCGTAGCCAATTTGTGAAAACTTGCATGCAGAGTGAAAAAAAAACAAAAAAACCCAGTCTTAAATGTTTGTGTAGATAGAATCCGTTCACCAGTTACAGTATCATAGACTCACTCCAATGGTTTCTTTCCACTGTTTCTTAGTCTTTTTTCATGCCTGCCTCCAGGATGTCCTCTCTTCACTGCTCATATTAATATTTCACATTCTCCAAAAGCACCTTGCGTGCTGCTTTAAACAAGCCTTACCCAGAAAAAAGGCCACGGCTATTTACTTAACATGCTTCTGCTCTTTGGGGAAAATGACAACACACAAATCTGCTGTTCTCTATACATTTGGCAATCCACAAAAAGTGAGGTCACATGTTCACATATGTGGCGTGCCTGGTGGAGTGTAAAAGCATTTGTTGGCCCAAAGGATTAGTGCTTACCTCACACATTTCTTTTTGCAGCGGAAAAGAGCATCCATTCACTACTTTGTGTCTCTATGCAACTTTGTGTCTCTATGCAATCAGTGCAGCGAGCAAAATGACATAAACTCTGCAATGATTGCTGCAAACTTTAAAAAATATATAAAAAAAACATGCTGATCCACAATATCCATGCCTTCAGAAAGACACAGAGAATAGGCAAGCAGACAGGCAGAGAGTTCTCTAATCTGCTTTAAGGGAGGTGCCCCTGTTATAATCTGCATCACTGTGAAATTACTGAACAGCATGTTCAGACTCTCACCAGTGCAGGACAGTAACACCTCAGGCCTCCACAGTACAGCAGATACAGTAAGAATATGTTGACTGATGCAATACCAACACATGAAGATGCATTGGAGGCATTCAAGATTTATAAAACTAAAAGTATTTACAGCCAATCATGTTTTTCACTTTTGCCACAAACTTCTAAGTAATTTATTATTTATACTATTAGTATTAAATTGTAAAGTGGATGGAAAAATTTAAAATTTTAATTCTAGTTCTTATTGGGTTAGTCTGCTGATTCTCCTCTCCAATTCTCTACAAGTTTTCTTTCAGGATTGTCCTTTAATTAAAACACCTCCCCACAACATGCTACTGCCACCACTGTGTTTCACTGTTTGTTCAGGATGATGAGTAGTATTAGTTGTCCAACACATATAACATTTTGTAAGAAATCAATGCATGCAAGCAATGTAAAACATTAAAAGGTTTGCTGTACATGGATTGAGTCAAACTGCAAACGAGACTTTCTATGGATGTACTTTCCTCATTCTTCTGTGAAAAAACACATCTGGGAAGTGCACAACTACAAGTTGTCATGTTGACATTCTTTTACACTAGCAATGGATGTTTGGAGATGTGTCAGAATTAAAGGTTGACATGTCAGGCTCTTGTCTGCTTCTCTGAATAAACGCCTCCTTCACCCGGCCTGCCATTTTAAACAACAGACCATCTATTGGTAGGTCAACAGATGACCCCTTTGTATTGCATTCTTTTGAATGATCAGAGCTCTGAGAGATGATAATTATGACTTTCTCTCAAACTCACAGTTAGGCTCAACTTCGTTGGACTGTCATCTGAGACCTATAAAAATAAAATCAGCATTAAAAGAAAATAAAACTTAAAAATCTAAGGGTTGAATACATTTGCGTGGCATAATCGATGCCACCTGAGGCTCTAGTTGCTTTATACAATGATCTTCATCTGTATATCTATTCAGAAGAATAGAATCAAAGATTACCTTAATCTCACAGGTTAGAATAGAAATGTGAACATATTCTTAAATCTAGCTGACTCCCAGCAGTGATCACATTACTTGTTTCAAAATCAACGGTCCTTTGTCACGCTGGATCTATTGGTTTATTACATTTAATCAATCTGTGCAATCCAGGTTTGCCTCTCCGAAGGCAAACGGCTTGTTCAATCAGAACAAAGTGGAAAAACAGCAGCTCTATGTTAATCACGACACAACAGCAGGCGGCCCCCTGCTGACGGCTTTCACTTTACTTGTAAAGCCACATTCAATAACCACAGCACCATTACACTCTCATGTTGGGGCATACATGATGTGAAATTTTAATTATCTTTCATAAAGTGCTGCTCCAAAGGACCACGTGTCAGTCAGGGTGTAATTCAACAAAATATCTTTAATAGATAGAAACATTTTTTTTTTTACACATCACAGCTCAATGGAAACATAATCACATGCTGTCACACATGTTAAGAATGAAGGCAAAGGGGTGATCTGCTCTGTCAGGGATCTCAGACTCTTCTGAGTCCAGCTTGCAGGCATTGTTCAGTCTCTTAACCCCTTATTCCCCTCTTGCATAACCCTCATTTCTCTCTCTGCTACTCAGTTAAGCAAAAAAATTACATGAAAAATAAAAGTATAAAATAAGACTGAAGGTGCAAATTTTTGATGAATATTAAACTTTGCTTATATACAGTCGCACAGTGTCTGAATACAAAAGGAAGCAGGTACAGCGTGAGTTTAAATAAGGGCTTTGGTCGTCCAAGGACCAGGTTTTGTATCAGGATTTCAAGCAGGTTTGTGCAGAAACCTGTAGCTGAAATTTTCAGGATTTACACAATATATTACACGAACAAGTACCGATTTAATATACCCTGGGAGTCAGATTGAGGCCATTTCACATGCTTAGGAAGGGCAAAAGGGTCAATTTCATGTAATGCTTTACATGTCAAATAATCCACTGCAGCAGGCAAGGTAACAAAATGTTACACATCAAAAAGCATAAAAATAATTAGTATTTTGGATTAGAATTTGTCTAATTTGTCACACAGGGCACACATTTTCTCAGGAAACTGTCAAATATCTAACATCTCATCTTTCTTGGCCATCATCCTTGTCATA